CACTGACAAAGTAGTGCTTTTCAATCAAGGCAACTACAAGGTGAGATTCCTTGCAAACAAACAAACATACATGCAGCATAAAGATCAGGCAAAAAAAGTAGAAGCCCATGTCTTGGAAAGCCATATCTCACTGACATAGATGAAGAGCCATCATGCACACCATGGCATTCCCCTGAGATATCATGAGGTTTGCCTTGAGCAGCAGAGCAGTGGGACATGGTAGCAAGACATTAAACTAACATTACACCTGAGGATAGCAGAAGCAGCTGTTTTGCAGACAAGCAGATAAAAGTTGGCATCTTCTCTAAGAGCAAGCTTTAGCTCAACCATAACCCTAAAATACCTGCACCCCAGAATGCTTTGGAAAAACAGCTATAGTGCAGCACTATGGTTTCCGTCACAGCAACATGACAATCAACACAACCTGTACAAGATGCCCGCTGGAGCTCAGAGCCAACTTGTACCAACTTGAGCCAGGCATGCTATGGTCTTCCTTCTCATCTCCTGTCAGGAAGGTAAAACAGATATCCACGATTACGTGTGTTGACCCAAACACATGGGGGGAGGTGCTGATGCAATTAGCTTAGGTAAGAGACACACGCAGCTCTTCAGCCTCTCTCCCCACCATGAAATATATCCTCATCAGGCTCTCTCTCAGACCTCTGGCTTTCAGACGTTTCACCTCTTCTCTTAATATCTGCAGTGTGCTTGGGGCAACCTTGTGTCCACAGTAGCAGTAATTAAAAAAACAAAACAACAGAGCAGTCATTAGGCTTTACGCACTGCAAGAATAAGTGCAGGAATTTGAAATCAGTAAGTCAGTCACCATTACTGCACAGATATATCTGGTTTGACACTTATTAAAATGCACGACTGCATGTGCCTGGTAAGTGCTTCAAAGTTGTTCCTTTGATTTATATAAAGATAAAACTAATATTTTTGTAGGTATACAAGAGAATTAGTTACCGAACTAGTTAAAAACCACTGAACTTTTGAACCTGTTTCCTGTTTTTATTTATAGAATACTCTGTCCTCTGAGGCAGAGGAGGCTCAGGAGAGACTTACTGCTCTCTACAATTGCCTGAAGGGAGGCAGTGGAGAGGTGGGGGTTGGCCTCTTCTCCAAGGTAATAGTAATAGAACAGAGGGAACAGGCCTCAAGTTGTCCTGGGGGAGGTTCAGGTTGGATATTAGGAAACACTTCTTCTGTATAAGGATGGTGATGCTTTCAAACAGGCTGCCCAGGGAGGTGGTGGAGTCACCATCCCTGGAGGTGTTCAAGAAATGTGGAGGACATGGCACTGTTGGACATGGTTAATGGGGATTGGTTGATGGTTGGATAAGATGATCTTAGTGGACTTTCCAACCTTCAAGATCCTATGGGTTTCTACAATGCTGGAGACACAGGGCAGCAGTGAGATTGTTTTCCATTTGCTCACCAGCACTGCCGTCACCCTGCTTTGTTCCTGTGAGAACCTAGCAGCAAGCAACATGTTCCCACAGCCCTGTCACCATCTGAGAAGAGTAGCGGAAGGGTTATAGTGCTTTTTTTTTCTTTTTATTCTTCTGCAAGGTTCTGTTCTCACTGTTGACATCCGGCTCGTGTGCTCTGCCATTTCATACGCAGCATGGTGTAACACCTTCACACTAATGAAACCACGAAGCTGTGCTGAGCAAAAACCACAAGTCAGAGCCAGGAACCCCAGCAGCTCCTTGCAGGGTGCTGATGTCTCACTGCAGCACCCACCCTATGACTGCTTAAGCTGCAAGCTATAGGTCTAGCTTTGAGACAGCTGTGACCCTGAGCACCCTGCCTCTCCAGGTACCAGCTCAAATTCAAGAGCATTTGAGGGGATTTAAGCAAACAGACACTGTGGAAAAAGTGAGGCGCTCAGCATACAACCCACAGCAACAAGGCAGGCTTTTTATCAGGCAAGCACAGAGTGGCACTTCCGTAGGATCACCAGCACACAGATAACGGGAGCAGCAATGCTAGGCTGTCAGCACTGGGGTGCACCTGCATCCCTGCACCAGTGATGAGCTTCAGCATAGCGGTGAGGAGCATGAGGACCCAACAGCGGGATAGGGCAGGGAAGCAGAGCTGCAATCAGAACATGGCCACAGTGACACAGACGTAACACCCTGCATCTGTCCCACCCACAGCTCACAGCAAGCATGCAGAGAGTACAAACAATGGGGGTGACTCAACAACTAGGAAAAACAAGCAGCAGGCATTGCCCAGGGCTGGAAAGGATAAGAGCAAATACCAGAAAACAAGGCCCCACCCACCACCACCAAAACCAGTCTGTCCAGTTCAAATCCCTTCCTGCAGGAGGGGAGCACCACATGGACCAGCCTCACTTACCTGAGTCCCTAGGAGCTGCTCCACTGCGTTCCGTGCCACCACTGTGCAAGTCACAGAGATCTCAGCCACAGGAGGGGCTCGCTGCAGCCCTGCTAGGCTGCGGCACTTCAATGCTCCCTGCAATAGATGCTTTCTTGCATAGTACCTATGAACTTTCATAAAATGCACCTTGGCTCCAGGATGGAAACTGGGGACAAACAAGGCAGACTTGGTTAAGGTGTCCTGTGCAAATAGGGGATGGCGCAGCTTCATACTCAGTCCCTCCAGTTCCCAGTGCATGCCCAAGATGCACCAGGCTGCTTAGAAAGGAGCAGCAGAGGACAACTCTATCCTTGGGAAAATGCTGAACATCCTAAGTTTACATAGCATTCACACTAGGATAGAAATCCATGCTGAAAGCTTTGCCCTGCCTATGATTTTGTCCCTCTCTCCATAACCAGCCCTAGTAGTGAACCGTGCAAACATCTCCTCTTTTACACCACTACTTTCGTTTTTTCCCTTGGCAATCTTAACTATTTCTACAGTTTTTGAAGATTCTCAGAAAAAAAACATAAGTTTCAGAGAGCTTGACAAAGCTCCTGAACCTGCTAATAGAAATTCCTGGCATGAGGCAAGAAATACGAAATTATATTGCTCAAAACTATTACATGCCTTTATAGCTACATTTAAGCAAGCTCTTCTGGACCAGAATTAGCAGAATTAGTTATTTGGGTGCAAAGAAATCTGTAGTGGAATTATTTATTTTATCTTCCCCTTTACTAGATGAGGAATTGAGCCCTAATCTCTACCTGTATTCAGTGGACTGCTCATTAAGAAAGGGAATTCTCTGTAATTGTTACAAAAAGTTACATGAAAGATTTTGCTTAATACTACCCAGCTCCCGGGGGAATTGCATTTCAAACTAAATGATTGCTCTTTTCATGTTTCTTGTGTATGCATTCCTTTTCTGTTCCTTCTGCAGCCCCCTGCCACAGGCAACAAGTGCACTGAAAGCATGTCAGTAGCTAAGACTACTTCCTGTAGCTTAAGACTGAATTCAGGAAGCAAAATTCATATTAATATGGGAACTTTGCAGCAGCTACTCTGGTCACAGAGTTCATTCCAGCAAGACGCATCATGAGTAGCAGCCAAAGACTCTTGGTTCTGAAAAGCACCCAGGGATGATCTGATTTTTCTGACTCCAAATTCCAAGGATGGCTTAGAAGCACTCTCCACCTGCGCAGTCAAAGCAGTTAAGTGCAGCAGCTTTCCAATCATCCTTTTCTTACTGAGCTAATTTGAACACGCACAGCACTGAAGGGATCTTTCAACAAAACCTGTTTGATAGTAACAGTGCATTGAAAAAAACTACTTATGGAAACGTGTTGCTTCTGAGGTAACATTTCAAGAACTGAGATGGCATTTCCAACTAAAACCAGCAGGTCAGAAGATGTGGTCTGATAGCTCAGCAACGTGACATGACTTCCAGAGTTGGAATTCATGTCTGGGCTCCTAGTTTGCCAAGTAGCCTTGCACAAGGGCTCATCAGCTGCTCTGCCTTCACATAAGAAGAAATGTGAGAACTTCAGTTCTCACAGAAACACAGTCAAACAGATGAGTCAAGAAGACTCATCTTCTTTCTGTTTGTGCAGCAGGAAGCTGCTCCTCCTGAGCTTCCTCAGCTGCAACCTGCAGCTGCTGCCATTACCTGCAGCCACCGCAAAGACTTTGTTTCATAATCCTCCTCCAAGCAGGTGCTAGGGGCTGCTCTTGGACCCTGCCCTTTGCTCAGATTTAACAAGCCTGCTTGCAGAGGACATGCCACAATCTCCTTGCCATCTTCACCTGAAGAGTGAAGACTCCCAAACACACGCTGTAATGCCAGAAGAAAAGGCTGTACTGTGACAGTCACAGTCATTCCTTGGTTGCTCTTCCCACTACAAAGGTTCAGCCCCAAAATATGAACAAACAGCACCGTTCCGATTTGGAGAGTGGTGTGAACTCTGCACTCAAAGCAGTATTTGCTCAATTCAAGTGCTGCCGCTTAGACAAGGGCAAGTGAAGCACACTGAAAACACGATACTGCAACAAAAAAGCTAAAAATCTAAATGCAAGGTATCAGGAGCCACTGGCAAGGGAAGCTCCTGCAGGAAATGCCCATTCACCCACAATGCACAAGCATCATGTCATCCAACTGATGGCTTGCAGTTTCAAGCAAGCCACAATTCGGCCATTCGTCTGTTTCCAGAAGTTTATACTGACAACTGTCAGCAGCAAGAGCGGCACCACTTGGAACACGTCCGACCTCATCAGCAAGCAGCTCTCAGCGCTGCTGTTCAGCACAGTGCAATTATTTGCTTTATGATTTTGTTCCTACAAATGCCACAAGACACCTAGCTTATACTGCAGAATGGAAACCTCAGAAGAAATGCGCAGTATGGGTTCATGGATGCTTCTAAGAACCTAACATCTATTCTTGAAAAGTTTTGAGATTCAAATTTATAGCCTTCACTTGACAATAGCAGCATCCTGAACGTTTTGCTTTTCAAAATGCACTGAATGCTTATACTTCAGTAAAAAAAATTTATTTTCAATATAAAAGTGCCAAAATATCCACCAACACTGTAATCTATTCAACAACCAGCTTACTCTAGTAATCAAAATTGCAAGCATCTTTATTCACATTTTTAAATCAAATTCCTTTCACACATTTCCACAGTAACCCGAGTCCCTCGAAAGTGGGAAATTTGGATTTCGGTTGGCTGCTGCTGTAGTCCATATGTCCAAGTTCATGTAGGCACGGAATGGGTTAAACCTCGGATAGTATTCCTGCTTACACATAACAGCTTGGTTCTCAACATGGGTTGAGTGTTGGGTCGTGGCACTGACAGGGCAGCAGCTTTCATAGGCATCACTCTGCGGTGCCCAGATGGAACCAAAAAGTCCAGACATTGGAGACAAGCTTCGGGTGCTCGAGAGGTAAGGCTGCAGAACAAGATAAAAGCATCATGGGGAGCTGCAAAACAGCCCACTCACCACAGAAAGCATGGCAGTGTACTAAATGGGAGAAAACAATGTTTATGCAAAGAACTTTGGAAACTCGCAAGCTGAAAATTAAACAAGGTGACAAGGCAATATAGTTGCCCAAAAGATTACAGCCGCATTAGCATGCTCTCTGCATGGCACCAATATTACTGTAACAAGAATACAGTATTTAGTTCTGGTTGGGTTATTAAGAAATACAAGGGATAAAGAGCATCACACGTGATTTGGAGAGTTAAAACTAAAACAGAAGGATGCCTGAGGAAAAGGTTGATGTGTGTGTCATTAATGAAAGATCATGCACACCAGAAGCAAAGAGGGATATTCAGTATGGAAAAAAGAATCCAATTGGGAGCTAGAGAGTTTAGGCAGAAAAATTTCGAAAGCTTATGAAGAACTCCTGGAGAGCAAGATGTATTAGTCTGCAAGGAAACCTCTCAGAAAGGTCACGGAAGTCTTGGGACTTTTAAAATTGAATGAAACACTGAAATGTACTGTAGTGAAAAGTTTGCCAGGGAAATGAACTGAATTATCCAATGTATTTTCCAATCTCTACCTTCTGTGTTTCCTGGCATTCTTGAATAGAATATGAAATAAAGCTACATCTGTTTTAGGAAACAGTCTTCTACCACTTTCGCTACTTTTTAAATTGAGTAGAATTTTCAGTTCTGCAAGTCGAAATATTTATTGCTTTATCTGAATATTTTTATTTCAAAACAAATGTATTACAAATGTAGTTAAAAAAAAAAAAAAAAAAAAAGGTAAAATATAAGATTTTGAAATCTGAGCTGAAGAGAATGCAGTTGTAAGTAAAGACTGCCTGGAAATGAGGTCAGCCACACATTGCACTGTGGGATGACACAGACATGGCTAGTCCATACAGAAAGAGGTCAAAGACAGCATTCAGAAATCTACACAAATCCAGCTTAACTCACTTTGATTTCCCAGAAAAAAAAAAAAAAAAAAAAAAAAAAAAAGTCAAAGTCACTGAGAGCAGCTGTCCATTGAGGCCGACCATTTCTAAATCTCTCTGGGTTTTGCTGTCAGCACTCTCTGTATTTTACCCTCATCTGGAAAGGTTGATCTTGATAGGAAAAAGTCTCAGTAGACTATGCAAGTCCAAAATATTTTTCCATATGTAAGATGATTTTAATCAATTTGCAGGCAAAAATGATCCATCCTGAGAGTTTTATAGACAAAGCCCAGTAACAACCTTGACCAACAATTGGGAGAAATCCATGCTACCAACACCAGCATCAAACACACACGTCAGGCTACTTAAAGGAAACGTGAGCAACATGCAAGCAGTAGGTAAGGGCAAGGCAGGTACACACTGGGAAGGCTTTTCAAGTGGCATGAGAAGGCAGTGCCTGGCAGTGGCAGTACTCACTGTGGAGCTGACATAACTGGCAGGCTCCCAGGTAGGCGGCATGTTCTGCGGTGCATTCCAGGTGGAGGGGCAGCTCTGGTCAATGAAGGCTGTGTTCTGCATCGCAGCTGTGCCCAGGAAGCCGCTGGAGTAGTTCATATTTTCTGCGGTTTATAAAACAGGGAAGAGAAAATAAGGCTTTTGCCTTATTCAATGTTGAACCTTCTAGGAGTGAGACATGCTGGAACCAAGCTAAGCTTTTGGTGACTTTAGGCAGCTTCCAGGCAATGCAGCAGCAAAGCTTAACAGTCTTTAACAAGACTGCCATTTTGTACTAGGCCCCAGTAACAAACTGCTGTCAGGAGAATGGGATAAAGAGTAGGCAATCTCCTTTCTGGAGAAAGCAGTCTTTATTAGCTGCAGAAAGTGCATGGCAGAGTCTACCCTGGCTTCACTGCCAGCATGCCTCAGCTCTAAGCACCCAAGAGATTACCCTGCTGCCTGTGATACCGTAGCTTGATCTTCAATTACTGCTTAGGTAATGCTAAAGAATTTTAGTTTCTTGCCAGAGTGTGTCCCAAGCCAAGAAACTCTAGCCTGCAAAGGTAACTGGTCACAAGAGGCTTTCTGTTTCACACACTGGAAAGCAAGCCAGAGGAGAAACAAACAAAATTGTGCAAAAAAGAATTGTGTAATACTGTGATCACAAGCATTTTTCTCTATTCCCTCTCAGACCAAGTCCTTTACACTGGATTTTCAGGCTTAATGATTCTATACAAAGGCCAGCTTTCCCATCTACCACATGCAGACAGTGTTTTTTTCCTATGGAGTACTCAGCTGGAAAGTATAAAGTTCAAACACCCAGATGCTCATAGACAAGCTCAGCCTTTTGTTTTAAAAGTTAGGTTAGAGAAATAACATGCTCAGTGATAACTTTTAAAATTCATCTTACCTTCTGGAATAGCACCATATTCATTCATCTCTAATGGACAATACATGTTGGAAAACTGGCTGTCACAAGTTGCATTCCAGTCAATGAAGCTGTCCCAAGAAAAAGAAAAGTGTGCTGTCAGAAACAATTTGCAGAACTTCTGAAAATTATTTAAACATACTTATTCACCATAAAGCTATCGGGTGTAAAATGCCTGTAACTGATGATGAGGCTCCTCACATTCTGCTTGCCTTACAAATTCTGCCAGCATCCACTCTGCCAGCACATAATCACGGCGATCCTCTCACTGAACTCTTTATTCCCCCTGAGAGGATGAACAATTTGGAGTGACAGCTACCAGAGTTCTGCAACACCTTGTGGGGTTCAACTTCTTCTTCCAGAAAAAGAAGATAATTAGATTACTTGCCCACAGGCACAGAAGTGGTAGATAGAAAATAAAATACCATGATTTGATGGGGAAAAAATAAAGGATGCAATGCATTATTTAGCATTTCTATGCAGAGCACTCTATAAGGGGATTTGTACTTCACTCACCACAGATTTCCTAAACTATGCATGCTTAGTGTAGGGATCATACTTGTTTTCATTCAAATAGTTCAAGTATTTCAAGAAGACTTTCAAGAGTAATTCTTAAACATTTGACTTAGAGAGCAGACTGCCAGCCATTACTCAAGTCATCAGGGCTGCAGTCTGTAGACAGTTGAGGTTAGCAGCCCAGTTGTGATCACATCATCATCATTTGGGGATTTGTGTTACCCACTCTTTCACTTTGGATGACAGAATATGACTTGAACTGAAGGCATATACCTGTATATGAGTAGGAACACCAGTGAGTTCGTATGAGCGAAGTTATGATGTACTAATGAAAAAACCATGAAAGACTAGGGGACTGAAGCAACGGCATGAATTGTAATATCTGCAAGGCAGATGATAGTTAAAGATAAGCTCAAGTGCAAGTCCTCTGCACCAGAGAAAACCTTAACAAAACATAATCCATGCTGCTTGCATGAAACGTAACTTGCCTGTTGTGGATTGAGGGTGTTTCCTGGATCATGCATGGCAGATTATTCTCAAGATTGTAGTTTGTCAGGCAGATGGGCTGGGGAGGCCACAAGTCTCCTCCTGGATAAAGACCTAAACAGGGGAAAGGGAACAACATGCAGAACAGGACAGAGGCTTTCACCACTTGTGGATATCATCGCAATGTTAGATTCTCCACAACAAAGACTAAATGGCAGATGAAAAATCTGGAGATATCAACCAACCTACTTAAACATCAATCTTCAAACAAATCTCAAAATTTCTATTCCTTAAAAAAATATATATATGTAGGAAGAGACTTGAATGAAGAATTTGTAATTCCACAAAACAAAGCAAGAGTTCTCAAGTCACCTATCATAGAATCACAGAATGGCTTGGGTTGAAAAGGCCCTTCTCTCTTCCCCCTGAAAAGATCACTCAGTTCCAACCCCCCTGCCACAAACAAGGCCATCAGCCTCCAGATCTGGTATTAAGTCAGGTAGCCCAGGCCCCATCCATCCTGGTCTTGAACACCTGCAGGGATGGGGCATCCACAAATTCCTTGGGCAACCTGTTCCAGCACCTCACCACTCTCTCTGTGAAGAACTTCCCCGACATCTAATCTAAAACTTCCCTCCTTAAGCTTAAAACCATTCCCCCTGGTCTTATCACCATTAATTATCATTCTGACCTAACTGCTCAACAACACTTTGTTACCATTTTCTTGTTTGTACCTTGCCAGACATTCATTCTACAGCAAAAGGCACAGGAACACACTACTCAAAGAGCTATGTATTTTAACTCGTTTTCAGACTCCACCTAACCACTCTGAACCTTTGGCTGCCAAGAATCCCACTGAACAAGTAAGTATTATTAGTTAATAATTAGTTAATATTATTTCCCTCCCGAGATACAAAGGATGAGAACTCAGCATTTCAAAACTCCGACCCTAACTCATTCACTACTTTCAAAAAGAGCAAGTCCTGACTGGAAATTAGAGAGGAAAAAGTGGTCACATCTCATGCTGAGCTTCATTCTAACATTAGGAACCAGTGTTATCATATCCCAGCCGCATTATTTTCAGATTTAAACCTATGCAAAGCCGGAGAAGAAAAATATCTAAAAATGAGAGCTGAAAGCAAAATGCAAATTCACATGGAGAAGATACAGAAGAATATCAAAGCTGTAAGATTTTGTTTGCTAACTTTAATCTTAACTTGCCTAGAAGTCAAGATCTAACAATGTGTGTATGATCTCTGCATATACAGAGAACATCAGCGACATCACTGACGCTGCTTGGCACATACTGCAAAGCTCAAGTTGTTAATTCAGTAACTGACCTTTATTCTTTTCAGGATCTGCAGCTATATCAGTGAAATTGGGACACAAGGTATCAGGATACTGAGGAATGTTATTCAAGTCTCTGCTAAATGAAAAGAAAATGGAATTTCTTAAATCAAGGCACTCTTATGTTACGTATTTCCAAAGTATTTCAAAAGAAAGATATACAGATGAAAAAAATATTCTAGGGAATACAACTCTTGCTATTGCTTTCCCAGGTTTTCCCTGGTTTTCTCATTATTTTGAATTTCCACTGCATCAGCTACTAATTACGCACACAAAACAAAGACATCTTAATAATCTCACTTATATTATCCAAGCATCAAACTCTTGCAAATTAATTTAACATTCTTCCATTAAGATGAATAAGAGCTCCAATGATATTTCGGTGCTCCCAACTACTTTCAGACAAGTTGACTTCTATGTGTACGAAGACACAATAGGCACACATGAAACATCAATTTTGTGTTTATCGAATGCCATCAAAGAAACAACTTGTGAGTGGAAAGGGAGCGTTTTTAAGCACCAGAAACCCAGAGGAAAAGGATTAAATTATTTTTGCTAGTGAAAACAGACAGTCATGAATGAGAAGTGAAATGAGAATTCACAGTGATAAGAACTGTAGATGCTATTTCTACTATAGTGAAGAAGTAGAAAGGAAAGAAGTGGAGGGGGAAATCAATTTCCTAGGAGAGCATTATTCTTATTAAAAGAATAACATCAACTTGAAAGTCTCACTTTCACTTTTTTTTTTTAAGTCAATTATTACTTTAATATAACTAAGGGCCAATGGAAATGTAGCAAGTTGCTAAGATCTGGAAGAAATCAGTGAGGAAAAATAATTTCCTTCATTCTCAAATTTTGTTTTACATTTCCCCAGCACAATCCTCTTTCTGTCTCAACTGCACAGATCTTTCCACGTACTGAGAAAGATTCTTCTTTTAAGTAGAAAGTGCAATTAGATGATAAAAATATAGTAAACCAAATAAATTAAGACAAGAGGTACAATTCACCAAAATGAGACAAGGTTTCAAGTTGGTGGAGTTTCTTTCATGTCTTACAGGCGCAGATTCAAATTTTTTACCTGGTATTGCAGATGTTATGAGACAGATTTAAAGTGATAGGAGTTTCAGATGGAAAATCGTTTTGTGAAATATTCTCCCCTAAAGAAAAGAATGACTGTGAAAATCAGAGATCCTAAAAAAAGAAGTATGCACAGAATATTTATACACACAGATAGACTCATCAATGGTGTTAACGAAGTTTCTTCTCAGACTGGAGTATCACTAACTGCATTAATACACAAAGTGATTTATTTTTCAATTGGTCTTAAATGTATTTTTACTTCAGTGATTACCAACACTCTAAACGTTAAGAGAATTCCTGTTACTATCAAATTTATTCTTAATTTGATACGACTTCTAAAGAAGTAGTAACATCTGACAATGAAGTAACGTGCCCACAAATCATTATCCATCATATCACAGGTTCAGACGCATCACACAGCGTCCTTGCTAACATAAGACTGTGACACTTCATGCACACACAAATGTACATACAAACACAGGCACATTTTTTCATTCTCCAAAATGGGTTCCTTTCAGGTACTGAAGGCTGTTAGTACTTGTGCCACTTCAGCACTTTTAAAACATTTACTTCTATCACTACATCAATTTGGCCAGCAATGGTAGTAACTGAGTCTTGGGCTTTCAACTATTTTAATGGTATTCAGGCATTCAAAAAGTTGCAGTAATTAACTACGTTTGCCACTTCTCACACTCTCAAGTGTATCAGGCCTCCTGGCTCCTTCTACTTCAAATACAGTTACCCAATTCCAGCACCCCAAGATCCGTTCTGAACTGCTTGCACACAGTTTTCATTTGCGTTTTCATTTGTTTCATTTCTTAACTCAAACAAGATACTACTTTTATTTTTTTTTAATTAACGTGACATAACATTCAAAAGACAAAAACTCTTTTGACTAGACACTCAGTTCTTCCATCTTTCTGTGAAAACAAGATGTGCAGCTCCTTAGCACAGAGCCTGACACTTCCTTTGTAGCCTTCTGGCACTGTCTCTATCTACAGAACTGTGATACCAAGTTATTTAAATCTGCCCTGCTGCCTCCGAGAGGTGCCTCCCCTTACAAAAAGGCAAGTTACACTCCACGCCATGGCAGCTCTACATTCAGCAGGAAGGCTGAAACTCTCCCACTATTTGCAGATGTATATGATGTTGACAGAACTTACGGGATGGAAGAAAATGCCTGGCAGTAATCATGGGCTTTTTATCTCCATCAGAACTGCTGGTACTGCTCCAGCTACCCCAGCTCCCACGACTGGCACGAACACTTCCTGACGAACTTCCACAGTCTGAGCTTGAATCAGAACAAAACTTCTCCAAACACTTCTTTTTGGACCGTTGATAAAACCTTTCTAAAGAAATAATAAAAACAAATAAAATAAAAGTTACCTGAAATATGTATTTACAGTAATTGCCTATATTTCCTGATAGGAAAAAGTAGTATCTACTGAAATTCTCATCGAGATGAACATGCCAGCCCCTACTATGAGAAGCTTATAGCCTAAAAGACAGCTCCAGTGCAACGAGGACAAGTGAGAACACAGCACAGTTAGAGGCACACGCAGCCCTTGCCAAACGAGCAGGAATGATGGCCCTGGCACTGCCAGCTCTGGGAAGGAAGCAATGCCTGCTCCTCTTGCCAGCCCTGTCATCTGCATGACAGGGTTTGAAGACAAGAGGGACAAGGAGGTCTCAGGAAATGAGCACGGTCCTATTCCCAGGAAAACATTTTATGCTTCTTCCCCAGTTTAAGACAATTCAGACTGCATACCTGTTTCTCCCTGTACGGACAAGCTCCCAGGTTTTTGGTCTGCTTTACAATTTTCCCCATCACCCTGAGGACACCAAGCTCTTATTCCAATATTCGCTCTCAGGTCCAGTCTTTCATATTCACTGCACAGATGCTTCAACTCACTCTGCTCGGGGACCCTAATACAACCACACCCAAAGAAATACATACATCGTTATTTTTTCCTTTTAAGGAACACCCAACTCAAACACCCCAACTCAAAAGGCTGCCAAGGCAGAATGTGGGATGAGGAATAGGTTGACGAGTCTTCTTCCTCAGTTTTACCTTAAAACTCTCTGTTAAGGCTTCCCCAAAACACAATATTCCATCACACAGACTCCTACTTCTCAAGGAGAGCAAGACAATGCATGCAAGTTTAATTCTACTCTCTATTGAAGAGCGCATTTATAAGTTATAACAATAAGCACTATCTAGCATCGTACGGAGATCTAGGTTGACTGGAAAACGTGCCCTACATCTATTTCACTGACACAGTTACAACTAGAATAATCTGGTTATGAAGTAATTTCAAGGTTTTCCTAGTCAAACTGAAATATCTGGAGCCAATATAGTAATCAGAATACTAAGACAAAAGGAATAAAACTCAGCTAAGTTTCTACAAGAAGGATACAGCTACATCCTTGCCATAGAAATGAGAAAACTGTGAATCAGTTTGAGGAACAGACATCAAATTTCAGTACTTCCATTGTTTCTCCTTCCTACCTGCAAAGCCTTTTATATATGCTGACTTCCCACAATGATATTAGTTTGTTCATAATAAGTTGTAACTCAATACAACTCCTTCAAATTAACAATTTCCTTAAGCCCGCTGACCTCAACAGGACCACTCACATTAAAAAGTAAATCCAGGAAGGCTCTGTACAATTGTGACCTTAATTCAAAGGACTGGGAAAGAACGAAGATTTTATCATAGTAAGTTTTAGCAGCCATTTAAAATTTGTATTTTGTTTTTAATAACTAGCAATGTAGCATAAATACTAGAAATATGAAAAAAATATTTATTGGAATTATTTACTGATTCTGAGTTGACCTCAGAAATGTATTTAAATGAACCTCGGGACAAAACAAGTAACTTCCCAAGGTAACCACACTGTCTACTTGAACCTAGAGCCCCTTTAACCCACTGTCAACACTTGCCACTGAAGCTTCACTGATGTTACTTATCAGCTCCTCTGAGGTAGATAACTTTTCAATCATTATGGCAAAAATACAATTATTTGTCTCTTTTCTTCCTCCCTCAAAACTATCAGAAGACAACATTCCCTACGTTACATTATGCAGCAGATGATTCTCCTGATAGTGGAATAATTTGAACAACTTTGTCTTCCTTTTTCACAGAAAAAAATGTGTCTGAATCTTACCCACACAGTACAATAACAGAACATTAGCCATCCAAATCTAGAAGGCAGCAAATGTCATGCCATAGCAGAGAGCAAGCACTGCTATGCAGTGCACTGAGTCTCCTCACACACAGGCTTACAAATGGATAAACATTTATTTTGCTGGTGATATTTCACACTGTGTATTCTTAGCATCAAAGCCCCAGGTCAGGACTATTGAGCATTTGTTTGAAGAGAAAGCAATCTGCCTAACGTACTATGCAAAACTCAGCAAAACTGAGGAAACATTACTGCAACTCTGGATTTTTTCATGACTCAGTGAGGCAACACATACCTTGTATGTATGTTAACATTCTTTTTCTTATTTTTCCGAGATGATCTGTTTCTATTCCAATTCGTATTTGGTACATTTCCTTCCTTTTTCTCTTGAGGTTTCTTCTTCCTAAATGCATCTTCTTGCTGAAGATTTAAAAAAAAAAAAAAAAAAAAAAAAAAAAAAAAACCAAGCAATGAGCTAAGAGAATACATGCATTATGAAATGAAGTTACCTCAATAAAATGAACTCCATTCGATTTTCAAGACAGTTTTTTTCTGGACAAAACAGCCCAACCTAATTGCATAGTTACTATATGATTCAGTGCCTTTCCACAGCTCTTTCTCTTTCCTACACCATCAGCTTGATCAGTCTTTCCAAGAACCCGTCCTTCAACAGATGATGAGAGAAAGGTTTCTGAATTCCTAGAGTTAACATTTCACCCTCACAGCATCTAGCCCTGACTTGCATGGAAATTAAAAATACAGGGAGAAAAAGGAAGGCAGTCAATAAAATACACCATGTGCTTTAAAAAAAAAAAAAAACAAGAAAGAAAAAGAAAAAAACATCTGCCAGATTTATGAGCAGTCTGTGTGCAAGTTCAGCAGCAATAAATCCTCCCTTTCCTCAGCGGCTGGGGGGGGTGAGAAGGGTGGGCATTCATTTGAATCAAACTGTGGAAATTGTGGGCTAACTTAACCAACAAATAACAGTGACTTGAAGAAACACAAGGAAAAACAAACAAGCACTATCAGCTGCACGTGAAAAGGAGTTTCTAACAACAATTCCCAAAACAAGACTAGACCTCTAAACAAACATGGTAAGCAAATCCTCATTACACCTTACTGCCATGCAACTATAACACAAGTAAACCAAGTTCTTAGATGTTAGTTATTAATTCTTAATTGCCAGGTGACACTTTTTTCATGTCTACCTTATTCTTTACACTGTCTACAACACATGTACAATACATTGTGTTTATCCTGTGCTCAGAAACTAGGAATGAAGAACGATTCTTCTCAGCAGCTTCAGTACCTAAGGGTCTTCTGCTTGCTTTATTCTCATTAGCAAATCTCTGACACAAAGCCCTAGATTTGGAGATCAGGTTGACAAATGCAGATGTGCCCCTCCAGACCATCCCCGCACCTCCAGGATATGCTCCCACATCATTGCTGTGGCTGACATCTGCCATCAGACTCCAGACTTTCTCTGCTTGCTCCGATGACACAGGAGAAAACGTCTGCCTGTGATGCAGCCAACATCACGAGGGCTGCTTTAATTCTTACCCAAAATTTTTCTGTAACTTAGCATTAGTGTGCAAGGCATGTGAGACAGTACATCTGCATTCTTCCACATTCATCTGATTTATGTTTCAAACTATGGCTCTGGCTGTAATAGTCTTTACATATGCGTACAAACATACCTATACACATACACAAAAATAAATAACAAGATCACCTTAAATTTAAAAAGCAGAAATACAAACCTCAAAAGAAGCAATCTCCTCTTCTTTACGCCCTTTTAATATCTTTTTCTCAGTGGAAGGCTTTATGTTGATCTGCTTTTTTAAGGTCTCACAGTTTTCTGTTTCATTCCTGAGAAGCACTTGCTGGTTATTCCCTACAATTAAAAAGTAATACAAGTTTGCCTTAGAAGAGAAGGAGCTCCTAACTGCATCCACACTGCTTTCTACCTTCACTTTGGCCTACATCTTAAAAAACAAACGAACAAAGAAAGCTCCCAAACCATGAGCTTTCCAGAATATTTAAGCTTCTGATGCTGAAAACTTCAATATTCAAAGCTAATGTTTGTGCAACACTGACAGCAATTGCAGCAAGTAGTTCTGTATCAATGCATACTAGTGGGACTACGTAAATCTCAGTTTCTACTCATTTGAATTTGAATGGTTTGGGTCCCAGCCATGGGGTCTGGAAGATAGAACTGGAAGCCAGAGAATATTGGTCTTAATAAAAAAACACCCTACAAGCTCAGAGAAAAGACTTTTCAAAAGAGGGTAGTTTAATATATATAAGTTTTATCTTTAAGTCTCTAGTGTGTCCTCTGGGTCCACTGGAAAGATAAAGGCAATTCATCCTTTCTTTAGGATGGATGCAGCATTAGAAGTTTATTGAGAGTCTTGTGAGAAAGACAAATTACTCTTGTGTAGTCTGTGAACAAAAGCAAAGAGATGAAAGAGGAAGCAATTCTCAACAGCTGGCTGAGCTGCCCAGACAAACCACAGTCCTCTGCCTGAACCTTGGAAACACTGCACAGGACAGAACTAACTTGAGCTCTGACTACACCAGCCATGAAAAGTGCACAAGGAATGCAATTGCTTATCACATTGAACTGGTTTTCTCAAATGGGAAAGGCACACCCAAGCATTTACACGTTTTCCTACCTACCAACCAACTACAGCATCTCATCCACCCTCTCCTGTCTTGCTTGAGTAGGCAAGGAAGGCTGCTAGAGCTCAACATGCAAGTACCATATGTCTTAGACAGCAAACTTGTGCCTGCCATATCTAACAATTAAGGACACAAAGGGTAAGAGACCAGTCCAGGGTAGCAACAACACACTGCAGCAGTGCCTGGAACCCTTCCATTATGGCTCACTCCCTAAGTAAACTGCCACATACCAGAACCACCACAGTTCCAGCAAATGGCAGTCTTTAGCACGCAACCATTTTGCTGAAGCCCTATTTGATAAAAGCAATTTGCATCTCAAAAGTAGATCGATAACAACAATGATTTTAACCATTAGAATACCTCAGCACAGGCTTGATTCTGTAAACCAAGTACAACTAATGTCTCATGAAGCAACAACTTTTAAAGCAAGCCATTTCCTGAGGAATGTAAGCAAAAATACCATACTGCTCACATAAATAATGTCACGCCTTGACTTGAAACGAAAGAAATCCTGACCGCAGTTTACACTTTGCATTAATTTTAAAATATATATATATATAAATATATATATTATATTTATATATATTATTATTTATATATTTATTATTATATATATATATATTATATTTTATATATATATATATATATATATACATGTATATATATATATAAAAAATTAACTTTACACTTTGCTTAATAACTTAATTCAGTAACTGATTATTTTGTTTTAATTACCACTATTCTTCCTAGAAATTTCTTGCAGTTCTGGCTGTTGCTGAGGTGAACTTCTTGACAAGTGACTTTCAGGTAGCTTCTTAGACATCTTCACAGGACAGAACTCCTGTTCCTTGAGCTCAGCTAGATTTTCAGAAGCTTTAAGGTTAGTTTCCTTAGGAAACATAAATGTTTGAAGATCTTCCTTCAGATTGCATTCTGAAGAGCTACTTTTAATGAGAACTGCATTGTTCAGTGCACTTTCTTCTTTACCCAGAAAGTTTTCTGGAAGAGTTAAATTCTTGTTAACATTTATGCCATTTGCATATTTTAGAGTTACCCAGTTCTCACTGACAACATCAGCGCAAATGTCCTCTTTTGGTGCTGAGATTTGGTTCTCCACAATCTGATTTTGTTTCTCATCAGTAGTTGCAACGGCACTGCCAGCTGCTGCATTTGGTTTTTGCTTACTGTAGTAAACTGAACATTTGTGTTTCTTCTGAGAGTGGCTGTAGGTTGCAGGACTTCTCTTTGCAGCATTTTGACTTCTGCTAGAAGTAGTGCCTACAGACAGGAAGCCCTTCCCTTTACCTTTATCTGAGGAACTATAGGAATCCATGAATGTCTTACAGCTGCCCCTGCAGAAAACAAAAACTAATTCAGACTTTTTTTTTGGTTGCTTTTTAAATTTATGAAGAGATCATGAATTGTTTAATAGTATACTCTTGTAATAAAAGGGGGCATATTCACAAGCCATAAAAATGTGTTAGTTGGAAAACACATCCCATCAGCCAAGCACGTTCTGATTTCAGTGGGAATTGAGAAAGACTAAGTATGTGCTTCAAACACACACTCACATGCTTGAACAAATGCCCAAGCTCAGAGACCTGGGAGATCAGATTTGAGGACCATTCACTTTAGCTTCCACTCTTAGCTTTCCATGGCTGCTGTACATGGTGTTTCCATTAATTCCATCACACTATTTTTGCCCTATACCAACAATATACAAGGTGAACAAACTCGAGTTCTTACATCTCTCTTCTGTGAAGATAGACACATGCCGCGATACTGATAACACTCTGAAAGAGGTCACCTTGAACAGGATCTCATCTAAAGAAGCCCATGGCAATATCAAAGTACTAGCAGGCAAAGCACTACTTCACATTAAAAAGAATGAAGAAAAATTATTTTTACTTGTAAGAATCAGAGCTGATGACATCAACAGAGTTGTCGTTCTGCTGCAATGAAGAACTAGGATTTGGTCTCTGTCTTGATTTCATGAACTCTGTTAAAATATACTGAGCTTGCTGGAAGGCTATCAGAATCACACCTAGTAGGGACAAGCTGTCAAAGAAGAAAACAAAAACCGGTGTCTACAATTGTCAGGAATGTTGTCACAGGATGTGCTTTTCAAATATTCTGTTAGTCAATTTCAAGGAAGAAGGCAGATGAGAAAAAATGCAAACCAGTAATCCTAATAGTGCTTTTTTTTTTTCAATCTTACAGATCTTACTGCTTATCATCTGGGAAAAAAAAAGCTCAATCTTGAATTTTATAAGGAAAACAGAATCTGAAAAAAAAAAATTCATCCTAGAAGAGAAAGCTCTAATCTGATTTAAAGACCAGTTAGAAAAAAGTCTGACTACAACACAATGACAATGTATCACAGCATGATTGCATATTAACCTAGTAAGTGTCTTCCATATATACACTATAGTTATGCCATTATTTTCATTTATTACTATTCCTTCCTCTACCTACAGTACTTTCCTAGAGGAAATACTAACATAAAACGGGCTGCATCTGCAGATAGATGCCTCCATTCTTCTGAGGTAAAACTGACTGCAAAATGTCCTCTTGTTTTCTCTGGTGCATTAATTGCAACAAACAGACTGATCAGAACAAAAATCTCCATAATTCATAAAAACACTTTTCATATAGCACAGCTTTTGTCAGCTAGACAACAGAATGAAAACCTACTGAGTTATCAAATCCTTATCCTTCTATCTTTCTGCTCCATCTAGAACCACATAACACGGTGCTTTTGCTGGTTCACTTGTCAAAACATCAGTGCAAACAGAGCTACAGTCTACAACATGATCTCAATTAACTGTGCACCATTTGTATTATCATGACATTTATGTTCAGTGCTTGCCAGTTCTAATTGCAGGAATTCAGGGTTTGTGCAATGAAAGCACCAGAAATTATCTGCCACAAGCAGAGCATTCAAATCACAGTACACAGTATGAAAGGTTACAAAGCAAGACAAGAAAGCGTAAGAGCAGAATTCTTAATGGTACAGGACTCTAAAACAGTTTCCCAAGACCCAGCAATAAGCCAGTTAATGTAAAACCAATAGTTTTTCTTGTGTAAGTGACAAGAGGAAGGAAGCACAAGGAAAAGTAGGTCCTTATTCAGTTGCCTGAAACTTCATAAATAAAATTCATGCTAATTTCTCAGAAATATTATAAAGTAAGCCACCAGTCTACTCAATTCTACAGCTGACATTCTGGGATGAACAGGTTCCATGTGCACCTCTACTTGGAGAGCAAATCTCCTAGCAATAAGGGTACCCAAAGCTATTCCTGTGGGGGGAACGGGACACCCAACCCTTCTTTCCAACCCTAACATGGGAGTTTATCAAGAGGAGCAGAATGAAATGCTTGTGAACACTATCACAGACTACTGGATCACACTAGTCATCACAGAGTTAGATGTAGCAGAAATCTAGGCCCTGTTCTCACATCTAGAAGTCAGAAGTGCTTGCTGATTTTCCACCAGCGGCTCTGAACACACTACCTTACAAAGAGGACAGTGAGCCTCCAGAAAGACTCCTCCCAGCTGGGTCCTGGCACCACGTCTGCGCAGAGAGGTAACAAATGGTGAGGAAGAGTCACATTAAGTGTGAAGTGAAACTCTAGATCAGCAGCAGTCACCAGTGTAAGCTCCCGGATTACCCACGAAGACGTAAAATCTGGAGTGAATCTGTCAGGAAAGGAGACAGAGCTGGTGTTATTCTTCCACTGCTGGGCTAAATTTCATTTTCTGAACTCATGCTGATACAACAAAATACGTGACTTTTACTTTAATAACACAAAAAAATACAATGAAGTACACGACCACTGTCTTCTTAAAACTACACAGATGCATTAGCACTTAACAGAGGTAAGAGTTTGTATTCATCCTCAAGGAATAAAATAAGTGCAATGTCCATGTGGACACATGCACTTAATGCATTACAGCAACTCATTTTTCTTTTCTGAAGAAGGTGCAAGATGACCAACTCATGTTAACTGAAACACTCATCAAAAGCACAGTTAAATGTACAGACAGCCAGTTTGGAAAGGGTCAAGTTCTAAGGTATGTCTAGAAGGCTAGAAAGATGGGGAAAGGGGAAGAAAACATCAGATTTTGCCCTTCCACTACTTTCCCTGCCCCACCCCAAAATTCTGTTTGGCTGCCATGTGTACTGCTAAAAGGTGTGACTTGCCTTTCCAATCACCAGAGGTGAAACTCATTGTATACATAACCATATCTACTGTAATACAGTAATGTTACCTCTCCTTGTGTTTAAGCCATGACTAATTCAACAGGATTTTAATAAGAACCAGTTTTAGACCTATGTGCAATGTTAGGTAAACATGACTAGATTGTAGTCAGGCTACTTGGGACAAACTGAAGAAAAACAAAGAATGAAGAAGAGCCATTGGTAGACCACTCTTTACTCACTGTGTCAGCTCTTGTTTTTGCTTATTACTTCATAACACAGAGAAAAGCATGTGTGCTGCTTTTAACAACAATGAACTACTATAAGCATCATTATATTATTCACTTGAAAAGAGGAAACGCTTGTGAAACTTATTTTTAAAGTTCAAGTTTTGTGTGCATTACTGGAGTGTCTATTACTGAAACTATTTAAAATTCCCTATTAAGTTAATTAGTCAGCAAATTTCTTTGTGCTTACACGATGCTGATCTCCCGTGATGAGTTCTGAGCCAGAAAAAATTCCTGACAGTCTAACACCTCAAATCCATATCCTTGGCAACTGTAACCATTGATTTTCATTGATGAAATTGTTATGGGAAGAGGCCCAATATTCTCTACTTTGAAGTTCTTCGTGATGGACAGAATTTGCTTGCTGTCTTTCAGTTCTTAAACAAACAAAACAACAGAACTATTATTGTACAGTGCTTAAAAAACTCCTTCATGATCAGAAATAAACTATTTTTACTCTCACTCCAAATAAATATTCAGAAGTGACCAACATTTTAATGAAGACTGTTTTGCAGCAGTTTAATTGGAGAACTTGTCTCAAACACTGGCTGAGGCTAGTTACATCAGAACCTACACCACTCATGATCACTCTTCAGCTTTTTTTTTAACTTCAATATTGCATTTGTTTAACATTATTGCACCATGTCAATGCCACTTTGAAGTAACGCAGGCAGCTACTAAATCAGAGACTTGCTTCTTCTTACTCACGTCGTCTGCAGTCCATCAGCGTAGCTTCTGGAACCTTGAATCTAAGAGATCCTCCTGCACCTGGCAGTCTTCCCCCTACTTTAAGTAATTCCCTGGCTCCATAGCCTTCTACATTGACCACATCCAGAACAGTCAAGTTGTTTCTGCCACAATATAAAAATCAAGCAATCAGTTGTTAAGACATAAATGAAGTTTGCAAGATCATGGCTTTGCTATCTAGATGCCAACAGCAAAGACAATAGTGTGTCAATCACTGGCCACACCTGGATTGTTTTCCCACAAAAACAGGCTATCCCAGAAACCATTCACCATCAGCAAATAAAAAAAATGAAGTAACAAGTTTTGTGACCACAGCCACTATCAACGATGCCACCTGTTAAAAAATGATTGCTTTCTTCCATAACCTCTTTCAAATATGGTATTTAAATCCTATCATTAAGGAGTAACATTTAAAGTAGCAAAGCCACCCAACATGAGAATGCTATTGATCTGCTGATCAATTGCTTTGGCTATACACACACAGTACACCTTCATACGCATTTCCTAACCCAGTGATCCCCAAAAAAGAAAGAAAAGCTGAAGTTCTACTTTATAATGACCTAAACGTAAGGCACAAAGACCTTTCAAGCAGCTTCCATTAAACTGGTTCTGACTGTCAAACTTAGTCCATTTGTCTTCACAATGCAGAAGAATCATTTGCTCACTGATTGTTTGCTTCTGAAAAGTGAAACCTGGCTTACCTGATCAAAATAATGGATGCCACTCTTTTGTAGTCAACTGGTGTAAAAATTACACCAACTTTTCTGGTTTCCAGTGGTTGTAAATTTAACTGAAGCAGCTCAGAACTGTGTTTCTTGCTGATGAGATCCTCTTGGTGTACGTTCTGTTAAACAAAAGTGCATTTATTTAGTCACAGAAAACATATACCTTAAAAGATATCAATAAAACAAAGCACCACCTCTTTACTTAGCACAAGATACTTCTGGCAAGGTGTGACAAATGCTAATTAACTTGTTACACTACTAACTTTCAATCTGATAACAAACATCAGATGAGGTTATTTATTTGAGCAAGAGTTCATATTACTGCACTTCCTACAATGAATGTAGTAATTTATTTTTTAAAACAGACTTTATTTGTTCAGATGGTAAAGAAATTACACGGCATCCTTCATATTTAAGGAGTGCTGAAACACTTCACAACACAACTAGAACTGACAGCATACTGAATAAGCTGTGCTCTTCTTGGCACAGAGCTTGCAACTTGATTTAAGTAAGAAACAGATTGTTGGCAAATATGTTAAACATTCTGAGTTACCAGAGACAAGCCAAAGTGAACTCTCTACCACACTAATTGAAGATCAGTTCTACTATACATTCGGTGAGACTGGAAATAGCATAAAAATATATATACTTTCATTTCAATACTGCTCTTTGCTTTTTTTTTTTTTTTTTTTCCCCTTAAAAAAAAGAAAAGATAATGACAGGGAGATGAGCAGAGAGAGAGAACTACACTGAAACTTTCAATTCCAGAACTGCGGATCTCCTCTTAGGAAAGCAAGATGAGAAACAAAAAAAACACCATAAACTTTACAAAATGGGCTCTTTCTTGGTTTTAAAATTCATAGCTGAAACCTTAGTAGCTTTTCTGATCTCTTCTAGTCCAAAATGTTTTTATTCTTAGTCTATTCAATGAAAAAAAAAAAGAACATTAAAAAAGTTTCAGAGCCTGTAGTTAACAGTTAATATTCATTAGAAGTAAAACACATACGACGTTGTCAAATTTCACCCTGTAACTCCACATACAGATGTGCTCGCACTCAAAAGTAAGCCTAACTATTCATCACATGTGTATTTAAAGTGATTGGGAAAATGAGAACATGTTAAAAAATATGACTATTAACAACTAGTTGGCTAACAACAAGACAAGCTCCATCTTGTATTCATACATACCTAGTGACTTGGTATTCCCATAGCTTCTTAAGTCCCTATGTGAAATACAGGCAACACATACACTAACATAGAGGTTTTAACACTATTTTGCAGCTAATTGTTGCCAAAAAACAAAGGTCAGTTTTGATTAGTGCAGCAAACAGATTCTTTTTGCTTTTAAAAGCTAGGAATCTTTTGTTGCATTTACATAGAGCATTAAAGAGACAGCTGCAGCATGCACAGAAAGTAAGGAGCATATGTCAGTTCCAGACTTTTGCACAAACTAGAATCGTAGAATGGCTTGAATTGGAAGGGACCTCGAGGATCATCCAATTGCAATCTCTCTGCCACAGGCAGGGCTGCCAGCTGCTAAATCAAATACTAGATCAGATTGCCCTATACAAAACATGAGAATAAACTCTTAGTGGTATCCTGGACAATGCTCTGGTAGTCAGACTATGCCAGCATCCTCGGCAGCACATCATCTAGCTGCTATCCATGACAGAAGACCTTGGGGCACAATCACAGACCAGCACTGGCATGCAGTACAGTTAAGCATCGCTGTGTTTGTGTTAAAAATGAGGTAATGGGAACCACAGACAGCTATGACTTTCCAACCTCAACCTGAAGTTGCAAAGAGACTGAGATGAAGCACAGAAATGTAGCTTCCCCCATCCTTGAGCTATTGGACAGTATTTCCTTCTACTGAAAAGATTATCTGCTATCTTCTGATGTCACCAACACAAAAAACCTTGTACTACTTGGTCAACCTGGGGCTAAACTGAAGTCTCAAGACAGAAAGCAAACTGTGGCCTTTTCAACACATGCATGCACAGGTTCTCCCAGCTGTCTTCAATTTGGAGAACAGACCCAAATTCTGGAAAGAAACTGACTGCAAAAACACAAGCTTGACAGAGTACTGAGAAAGCACATTTACATTCTTTTAAGTAGTACTTGGTAACAATCAGATGTAATGCAACTAGTGTGTCAGATCACTTCTAGTGAAATTAAACATCTTACCCTGTGAGAATATTCATCCATGAGCTTGAACTCAGTAGTGGTGAAATTAATAGCTTGAATATTTATGCCAAACCTAAATAAACCAAAACAAAAGATTAAGCATTTCAAACCTACTCTGTCAGAACTACACTGACTTATTCTCACAGGTTGAGCATTTGTCCTGAAAAAAAAATACTTTTACAATTGCACTTCAGGAGATGTGAAATACTGTGGAAATGTAGATCTGCATTTTCTAACAAAATATTTACGTGTATATCTATATACATACACACACGTGTGTGTATACATACATATATATGTAAATAAACACAGAAATAAATGATGTTAGGGAAGCAGCTACATAGAAACTGGGGCTTCATATAAGGGCTTCTACAAAAAGATAAAAACATTCTTTATTAGTTTAGGTTCGGTTTCTTTTCTCTTCACCGACCACAGTCTATAGACCATATGCTTCTCAACCAGCTTTGCTGGGAGCTGCACATTCCCACGTGTGGCAGTTGCTTTCCTCACCTGGGCAGCCAGCACAAAATTGCACTAAGCCTCAAATCTTAAGAAGATCAATTATTGTTTGTGGCTGGCAGACAAATTTGCTGAAAACATGCTCAGTTTGGCACTGACTGTGTAATGCACCCAATCAATGAAAAGAGCCAAACAGGGAGATGCTCTGAACCTGTCTGATGACTGTACCTTACAAAAAGAAGAAAATGATCCCCACATAGCTTATGCTTCGAAAAACGTAAACAAATAATAAGCAGCAATCGTAAAGCAAATACGATTTTGAAAAGAAAAAACAGTATTCTGAGATAGTTATACTAATTACCATTTGCTGAGCAGACTCAGTGAAGCTTGGGGATCAGGGTAGTAAGAGAGTGGCAGAAGCTGCAGTGCAACTGGAAAGGATGAAGGATTTCTCAGTATGAAATACTTTACCTAAAAAGTAGGGATGGAAAAAGTTAAAAACTACATATCTGATAATAAGTCAGTGTTACTAATATGAGCTGAATCTTCCAGGGACTTCCACTTGGCTTTAGTCTTAATATATCCATGTGTGTATAAAACTGCATGGGATATGACATCTTCACAATGTCTTCAACTGCAGAAACAGTGCACAGTGCACCCACATGTGCAAAGATATAGATTTCCTCCCCCTTTAAAATAAGCCTCTCATTTGGATTCTGATGTGAGAACTTCAACATTTCTTCGTAATTGTTAACATCAATAGTTATACTCCTCTCCTTGTATTAAAATGTTACACGTAAGTAGCTCAAGAACTTATCAGAAAACCAAAGGGATAAACAAACGTGGTGTCCTACAGTAGACTTGCATGAAGAATTCAAAACACCAGCCTACAAGCAGTTTGAAAATGCTGAGCATCACCAAGCATTAACTGCAGGCCTCATTCTTTACGGAAGCAAACATTCATCAGCTGAGAACAAGGACAACCATTCTCACCACGCTACTTTTAACTGCTGTGGCATTGAAGCTGAGCGTAAGGCTGGGCTCTGCAGTCAACCGCGGCAAGAAAAAGGCAAACGACACCTCCTCTTCAGGCTGCTTCTGGTGAATCAAGCGAGTTGATCCTGGAATGCTTCTCCTGCTTTATTGGTAAAAATCAAAAAAGATTTGGTTGTTTTGTTGTTTGTTTGTTTTTCCTTCCACCCTCCACCTCTTGCTCGTTCTATTTATTTTTCAATAAAAAACCAGAAGATGGTAATTAACCAGGACTTCTACTAATCTTCCCTTCAAAAGCGTTCTTCACAAAATAAAGCCAATCAACCTGTAAACCTAGTCACAGTCAGTGCAACTTATGTGTTCTTCCGTCTCCTCTTTTCCATCTGCAACACAGTGACTAGCTTTCACAGCCCTGCCTCTCTATTCCAGAAAGGTGCCGATATCACTGATGCACTGTCTCTACACGAATTGCTCACAGCAACTGCTTCCTTCAACCTGTAGCATCTATTAGGCTGAGGACTAAAGGCCTGGAAAGCTGTACAAAGCTCCTAATCCTGAGAATGCTGCTATGGGACCCGCTGACAAAAGATTTGCACAGCTCCGTCACTGGTGAGGTAAAATGTGCTTTGACTGCTTTAAACTGAGTAGCTACGGAGGAGCTCACAACCAAAACATTAGTTACATTCTAAAATTCAGGCATCTGAAATGTTTACTATCACTGACAGTGCCTTGGAACAGATACTAGGAATGTTTGGGATGCTCTGAAACTCCAGAGGCTTCTAGACAACTAATTTGGGTATAGCAAGGTCTAAAACATTTCTTTCAATTAGGAATGCTTCAGGATATAAATATTTTCTTACATCATTTTACTGGTTTGAATTAAGCAACTCAAAGATTCTGTACCAACCTGCAGGCTTCCCCGCATCTTATTTTTTGCCATCTTTCATAAAGCTCACTTGCCAGCTCAGAATCCACATCCCAGGCTGAACGATCCAGAGAGAGACTCCTCTGCCAAAGCAGATTTGCTAAAACGATAACAGGTTTTTCATGTTTTTTCATGCTGTTGCTGTTTCTAACATTTGCTACTGAAAAGCCATTATAGTACCAGCAGTCCTTACACAGAACTCTACAAAAGAAAACCAAACCAGCTTAGTCTGAAAGTACAAAATGTAAGTTACTGCACAGCCCTCAGTGTTTAAAATAACCAATTGAGACTGATGACAAATTGAATAAACCAACTACAGGTTGTTCAGGTCAGTATTTTCAGGCATGTGCATTAGACTTTTCTATTTTAAATGTACGAGTATCCTAAATTATGAAGTAGAATACCCCTAGAAAAGATCTGATTACGTGTGTTATTAGAATGGAAAGTAAGAAAGCATTGAATACTTACATCAGCAATATTCTTTTACTCAATTTTATTTTAAAATATCTTTTGCTTTTCCAAAATGTGCCTATGTATCAGTAATTCCTCAAGCCACATACTTGTCACCTCAAATCTCCTTTTAATCTTTGCCCCTCTTCAAAACCTCATACAAAAAAATTTTAAGAAAGATCACCTTGGAGATACGTTCAGAAGGACACAAACATTTAAATCCTGTGGTACCCAGCTTTTTAGTGAAATTCCTTCTTAAGAAGAAATGAAAAAAACTTAAAATGCACTACTCTGAATCAGCCTTCATCAAATTACACGTTCTTCAAGCAGAACCATGTCCATATGTCATCTAACATTGTGTTTCCTAAACGCCAAGTCGGTACTTAAAACACTGCAACGCTGGGAGCTATCCTGAGATTCCTCAGTTGCAGAGAGAAAAGCATCATTACTTTGTTTTACAGAACACAGCTTTTGGTATTCTTTTCTAAGGCTGATAATTGGTCTTTTGCAGGAACCTATGAAATTATTGCCATGAGAAGCACAGAGAAAGCATTCCAATTTAACTCTGGCTAAAGGCAAAAAACATGGTAGTTTTTTGTCTGTTTGCTTTTTCAGCACAGGATTTCCAGGATCTGGGTCCAGATGAAACACATTTTCTAAACTCTCCTTGAGCTTAGTTGACAGCTTAATCATTGTACCTGATCACCTCTGAAGGTTGTGACAAGAAGAAAGCAAGGAGCAACACACCTCCATTAAGAACTTACAGGACAGTCTTAAATATTGTTAAGTCCAAAACCGTGTTATAACAGGACAATAGTTTAAGTGCTATGGAATTAGAGATCTGAAATACTGCAGAGTATACTCACAACAGATTACTTAGAGCCAACTATACAGGTGATAGTCTCAGAAAAGCATATGTTTTTTAAGAATACAGGACTTGTATTAACAATCTCAATATTCTCAACATAAGGCCTGCTACAAAATTACCACTCCACGCTTAAAAAAAGTCAAGACAAGCCTACCTGAATCAGACTTTCCTAGGTAACACTGAATATCACAATGGGCAATGGCTTCAAAATGAAGGTCTGCCTGCTGGAGAAACAAACCAAAATAACCCACTGACCATATGACAAGCAAACAAACCAAAAACAAACAGGAGGAATTTGTTTCCTAGTGCATAATTTGAACGAGACAAGGAAGAGAATTCAGGTTGCCCAGAGAAACGTAATTCCATCACTATTTAATACTGAGGGTTTAACTTTCCAGGTATAGAATTTGTTTTTCTTTCAGGACTAACAGGCAAATTTCTGACCAAAGAAGCAGGCTGCTACAGTTTGATCTGCAGCACCTAATGATCATTCAGCACAACTGAATACCATACCTTGGACACAGTTGAAAATATCTGCAGAGGTATTTCAATCACCACTCCCACACTGGTGGCCAAACAAATACTAGAAAGCACATTTGTTACATTGTTTTTCACATCAAGTTTCAAAGAAAATACATTCCAACAGCCTGGAGATAGGGTCAAAGGCTCAGCAAAGTTCAGAATCTAGAAGGAAGCAAAAGACACTTGAATTAAAACTGGAACAGTATTTTAGAGCAAGCAGTGCCTTTGTGTTTTTGCTGTTAATACACATGTGCCCATCAGTGATTCATACAGCGCGCACACAAGAGTCTCCTATCTAAATATACAAATGCCCAATTAGATTATAGCATACACTGCGTGCTTATTCATAAATCTGTTTTGTCTGGATTGAGTCAAGCCATTGCACGAGTGAATTACTGATTTTGACTTCTAAACTTCAATGCTCATCTATGTACTCAAGATTTCCACTGCAGCCAATGAAGAAATGCTTAGTCCTATAGAGCACAAACAACAATAATTCTGAGAACAGAGCAGTGGTCTATAATTTGATGCATCTGTAGTTGCAACTGAAATTAAAAAACAGTTGCTAACGAACAAAACAAAAGTGACTTGGACAGTGAATAATATCTGCTGAGAGCCTGGGCTTTTCAGGACCTAAGTTACAGGCACAGAGCTACTTTTATTTTTAACCAATTTCAATTAGCATTGAGAACACAGAGTCTTTCAAAAGAATGTACTCTGTACGTCAGAGGACCAAATTCTCAAATCAAGGACAAAGCACTGCATGAAGCTGAAATAAAGCCCACCTTTAAGATGTTCTTTGTTTCTCCAGATATGTAGACGTCATTCAGTTCAATGCTGAATTCAAAGTTGTTTGTAAACCATACGGACCAAAATCCTGAAATATTATGGTGTGGTTCAATATGAAACATTGTTGCAGAAGGATCGATATCAAAATACCTGCAAGTAAGTACAGAATAAAAATAAATACAACTGCAATTGTCCCTGAACACAATCATTCCACACAACAACTTCACTATTCTTGGACAGTGGCTGTCTTAAGATTTTAAGGATAAAGCAGTTTCCATTAGAATACCTACATATGTCATAATACATCACCCACTGCTTTGTTTATCACAAAGGTAAGCTGGGGTGAAATCGGCAAAAGAGAACTGAAGAGTTTCCTGATTTTTCTATCACTATTCTGCTTCTGCATTGGAAGAACAAGGACAGTGCAAATATTATCACAGACTCCAAGCAATGCTTATGTGATATAAGCTGTTAAGGCATTTTTTCTAAACGCCTCTTGAAACTATACCTCTAAAAAATACAAGACTTATTATTTGAAAGTCACAGTTCCATTTGGGCAAATGATACAGCAACAACAGGAAAAAGCATCTTCGCTGTCCTTAGAACTCACTGCATGACAAAGCAAACTCACTTTGTGTCTAAAAGTAGTCTACAATATTTGTGTAATATCAACAAACACTGACAAACAACAATCCACTCTTAACTTACCCTTCCATCACAGGACAGGAAAGGCAGGCTTGTAGTGCTGTAGCGCCCTCCACTATGCTGTTCCTCTTGTCATTAGAGTAAGGTCTTGCATCATCACAGAACGCAGCTGGGTAAAGAACAGACACACAAGAGAAAACACCATCAGCCAGCAGAATAAATGCACATCTGCAATGGTTTTCACACGAGGACTTCAAAGAACACTACAAAGGGGAACATTCACTTGTCACGCAGGTGAAAAAAGAAACCAAGTGGTTATGTTCTAATTCTCAGAGGATTGAAACATCAATTTAAGAATTTAAAGTGCCCAACACTTTCAAAAAGCACACAACAATGCTGCTAAGAGTAACCTGACCTATCTTAACTATGCGGCACCAGCAGAGCATTCTCATTCATCGTAACACACTGCCTCCTTTCAGCAAAAGCCTTCTGAAAATAAAAACAATCACTTAATGCAGTCCCTTATTTCTCCTTACCTGACTTTATTTGATTAGGAAAAACAAGGGCCCATGTCGTTACGAGAACAGCCTGTTTCAGTAACACAGTAAGTTTACGTACTGCAGTCTAGTGGTCAGAACAAGAAACAGGCTGCAGTCAGAAATGTCTCTGTTCTAATCTTTGCTCTTCCACAACATGCCTAGTCTCAGGCAAAAGCCTCTTCAATGACCTTGCCAAGAAATGTCATAGAAAATGACCACACAAACACAACAGTCTTTCAGAAAATACACTGGAAACAGAAAATAGCCACCAACTATAAAAGGATGCTAAAAAAACCAGTCAATAATTATGCTTATTTTAAAATCGGCCAATAATTTCAGTGAATATTTTCTTCCCCTTTTTGAAAACTATATATTGCTTACAGAGTCTTAAATCAGCACAAAAATCAGCATATATACACAGAACGGTGGAAATGATTAGCAAAATGAATTTATGCACCTCAAAAAATTGTTAAGATTTTTCTCAAAGTCTACCTGCTAAAAAAAACCTACTGTTTTTTATAATCAAACCCTACCTCATCATTACTATAAATATATGCATACTGTACCTTTACAAGAAATAGAAGCAACTTTTGTAAAGTTCGTTGATGATGAAGACAGCAGTACTGGCTCAAATTTCACCGGTGTCCTGTTTTTTTGCGACAACTGCCTTATTTCCTGCATGAGAACAAAACACAATGACCCCTGCAGCACTACTATGATTATTATTGTACCTCCAGTGTCAGCTTATCTTCTTGTCACATTTCCAAGCCATTATGTGCAATTTTCTCACAACTTCTAAGTCAGGGCCCTCCGATTTTTATTCAAGTTAATCACACTTATGTCTTTAACACGAAAAATGCATAACCAAACCAAATGTAGATCCTCTAAGATGTCTGCTAGATGCCCGGGCATAATTTAGAAATATAGAAATGTGATATTTGCCACCAACAAGATCAATCTGCCATTATGCCAGTTGTCCAATTCTCAAGTCAAATTTGACACTCTTTAACATAGAACCAGCTGAAGCCTGTAATTACCTGTATATGCACACGGTTGTTTCCAGAATGCAAGACGTACACATCCACCATGAAATCACCTGCTCAAAAGAATGAACACTAAGGTCAGCTCACCAGGGACTGAAGCACTCTTGCTGAAGACACTCACATTATAAGCAGTCCTCATTTAAATTTAAAAAGCATTCCATGCAACAGCTGTCCCTGCAAAGCCACATGCAGCACTTAACACTTTTTGGGCTTAAAACAGGAACAGTCCTATCATCTGGCAATTTGCTACCCAGAGCAACAGCAGATGGATATAACCCAGCTTTCACCAGCCAGTAGGTTGGAATGGAAGTATTGGTAACCACCCCTGCCCCTGCTAAAGCTCTGTTCCCAGCCACAGGATGCTACAAAGACCTGGAGAAGGCCACAAGACAGCACAAGACATAGCTATTTTGCCAGGGTGGTCCTAATTCTTCCATGAAAAGAGGACTGAGTTCTTGCTTTTGCTTATACTTAAAGTACATAAGTAGACACAGGCTAGCACAAAAGGACAATACTGTGCCATTCTCTTGATTTACAGTAAAAAAATCAGCACTGATGGAAAAAAATTTGGATTTTCCCACTGACATCAAGTCCAAGGGATTATATAACCAAACTCCAATTCAATGAGCATTTATAAATGTGCTGTGTTTAATAGAGAATAGCCTTATAAACACACCCCGCTACTTTAACTGTCAGAAGTACTAACAGCAAACACCCTTGACATGACAGATGTGAAAATCCTCTGCCAGCACCAGAATAAACATACATCCACAATTCAACATAAAGTACCAGCATCCCACAAGCAGGGAAAATAGGCTTACAGTGGGTTTCTGGGTATCAGTTCCATGTAAATATCACATCACAGAATAGGTACGGGGAGAATAGCATATACTGTGATCAGACCCCGATCAGAACTTCTCAAAAGACAAAAAGATCATATTCTTTTCACCTGTTTCCACTACTGTGTTAAAAAAATATTATCGTAATCTAGATTCTTAGGCAGTTCTGTCGTCTTCAACCAGAAAGTAGAACTGGCACAAATGTCTAAGAAGGGCCACCCAAACAGACCTCAAAGCTCTACAAATACTTAAAAACCTTTCATTTATAAGATTTGTTCATCCAATAAACACAGCAGAAAGAACTGTGAGGAGTTGATTGTTTTGCTTGTGGAATTTTTGCTTGAAGGAACAAACAACGCACACATCATCCCACTTTCCACAACAGACACTATTCTCAGTAGTGTACAAACCATTCTGCTTTCGTAGGCCCACTATTGTTAATTTAGTTACAGGGAAATTAGAAACAGTTGAAGAAATCAAATAACCACAATATCTTTTCACACTGCTCAAGCAGATGTAAAAGCATGGGGAAAGTATGAATGAAACTGACAAAGTTTAAAGTCTGTACCCTTACAAAGAGGGTTGTGCTTTGAGTAACTCTGCCCTAAGCAAGGGCTGCTAATGCTGTGTTTAGCTAATTTTCTTTTCCTTATCTGCAAAAGTCAGACTGTCACTAAAATCGATTCAATTTAGCACATCAGATCATAATACGCATAAAATCTACTGTATCACAACTAACAGTCACATTTAGGACTTACCTGAGGTCTTCGTTTTTTCCATTGCTACATAAACTACAAAAAGATTCTCCAGTAAGTATTGTCTTTGCTCCACAAAATCTTGTTGGGCATTTTCCATTCTTACCGTTAAGCTCATTTCTAGCAGCATTGGATCATCGGACATAGAACAGCAACTCTAGAGTAAGACAAGGGGATACAGTGCATGTGGGGGGGGGAAGGAACACAGCCGTTCATTATGGTACAGTATCTTGAGAAGTCAATCGAAGACATCATCTAACAGACATGATCTTCAGCACAGAAATGCTGATAAGCAGGAGAAATTAGGACCTATGCTAAAATTCTCAGCAGAAACCGACGACAGTGCAGATGCAGACAGCACAGTGAAAACAGACGAAAAACAACCAAAAAACAACACAAAACCTTGAAAGAATGCAAGTTTATGGACTGTCTTAGTCAGTCTCACCTCAGGGACTGCAAAACAGTTTCCTTTGTTAAATCCTCTGACTTCAATAAAATGTGCCATAAACAGACTGATGCATGTGTCTTAACGGAAGGAAGACAGTTCATGTTCACTGGTCTGTTTATAGTTAATTTTTCCAAATCCTGTGTTTTTTGTCTCCATTTCTCACTGAAGTAATTTTAGAAAAACAAACACACGTACAATTCTTAATAGCAAACTGCCATCTGGCTAGAATACTTCAGATAAATATAAATTGGTTCTTATCCCCTTTTCTAAGCAGCGGCTGCCGTTAAGACAGCTGAGTATGAGTAACTACAAAGACACAGACACCATTTTGCAAAATACTAAAGGCAACAAGCAAAACAAAACTAGACAATGAACAGAGAGTAACATAAATCTGTCCTGCATCGCACCATGGAGCTCACTATGCTCAGGCTCTGTTGCTGTACTGCAAGGAGGAGGTGTAAGAGAAAACCTCGACATGAGGCATGTGAAGTGCTCTAGTGAAAGATAGCAAAATATCTTTAGTTAACCTGAAATCTCACTCTGAGGTGTAACATGAGAGAAGACTCTCCAGATATCAGCTCCCTCCCATAGCATCACAGAAATCCCCAGTGCTTGCAGTAGCTGCCAGATGCACAGAGGAAGCCACAGGTGATGTGTCCTTGGATAGCTGCTATCAGAGTGGGCAGCTGTGTTGTGTGAAATCTCAAACTTCCAAAATGCATCTCAAACTTAGCCTCATTTACCACACAATGCACAGGTGAAACACAGGAATAAAACAATACAGAATAGTACAGAATCACTGTGACGCATACTGTGCAGAAAAAACGGCTACAGACTCTTGACCTAGTCACACCCCATGAAGGAAAGGTGCTGCAGACCACAGCTCCAGCCTATATATTTGAACAAAACAGCTAGTCGAGCACCAGCATCACTGAAAACTTATGTATTTATTTACTATGTCAACCTTTGAAGACGAAGAGGAAGGTGAGATTCTGCTGGCACTGCCTATAGTAGGAAGTCTAGTGCCCTCAGTAATCAGAGATTGGGAGGGGGCTTTTCTGTGAAGAGCCTGATCCCTCCTCAGCTCTGCCACATATCAAAGCCCCATTTAAAGTACTCTGAGAACACAACTCAGACAATCCATATTTTGGACACTCATTTCATTGCTCTTATGTCAGCATGAATGTGAAATTTGTGCAACTGTTTATTGAGAAAGGAAATTCACTTTCGTACTCTAAGTAACATGACATGCATTAAAACACTAAGGCAGCTGGGGGTTTTGGAGGGAAGGAGAGGTGTTTTCTTTTACCATCTCCCCTTGTAATGGTGACAGCATGATGGGTGTAACGCTTCACTCATAACATGGGGTACAGTTCTACAGAAGCCCAAAGTAACAATTCGCTTTAAACTGAATCATCTGAAACTGCATTGCTGCTACAACTTCTAAAATTCTGGAAAATATTCTTCTAAATTTGGCTTAAAATAAGAAAGCTTAAATAGGTAGAACGCAATAATAAAACATACCTTAACTTTTTGATATGCATCACTAGGTAAACTGCATTCAAGGTGAACATGTAAGAAGCTGGTATTCATCGTTTCTGCCTGTAAAAGAAGAAAGTGAAAAGCACCTCAAGCAGGTTGTTTTGAAAGATGCTATATAAATCTGGCTCACATAGCACAATTTACAAAGATAAAAAGACTGCCTCTACATATGCATGACACAGCAATGAAAGGATGTTTTTAAAAATGAATATTCTGTACAGTAGATCCAACTCCAATTCACTAGAAAGGAATTAGAAAGATTGTAATTATCAAGCTATTATTATACGTGATTATTAAAATATCTGTACAGCATCAATACAAGCAATCCGTACAAACTTTGATAAGACAACAAAATACGCTCAACAGAGCCTTTTTGGCATAATGCAAATGCTTATTTTCCTATTTTCTGTATATTTGCTTTGCTGATTGTACACTGAAATGCAGTTGCTAAGCCAAGAATGCAATGCTGCACTCCCACAGTCTGATACGTAGGCTTTGTGAACAAATGGACAGACAGAAAGTACATGCTTTACCTTTTTGTTGAATGGGAAAGATAAAAAAAAAACGGGGAATTGAGCATGCCAGCTTGTAAAACACTCTTAAGCACTGACAAAGCCAAGCACAGTTCATGAAAACCATTCGGAAATCTGGATTGTCAACTTAATTGCACATACTGCTCAGCCAGTACGCTGATGTCAATTCTAAATACTAATTTAAAAAAAACTATGAGAGTTCTGTCACTACGAGTAACATAATCACAGCAATGTTATGTGATGACTTTGAGACTGACGTGGAACCCCACTCAGTCTCTTTTCATACATAACATCATCTGAATGCGGCATGTGAAGATTCAAGTTTCTGAAGGTGTCAGTGCAACTTCTTTTGAAGAATTTAAATCACTTGATGCTAAGAAGCAGGAATATGAATAACTAGTTTTATAGTATTCAAAGCCCTGCTTCATTTCTCCATGGGACAGAGCGAAGGGAGCAGGGTGCACCTGAGTATCATTTATACCACAGGGAACAGTTTCAGAGAAGCACAGCCAAAAGGACAGCACATATTGTGCAGCCTTAATTCAAGTGGATTTCATACCAGTGACCCAGGCTCCACACAAGAGGGCGATCCAACCCCTGTAAAGATTGTCAGTAGCACCAAAACACAGGCTCATGCCAGGCTGCATCAACCCCAAGGAGCTGTTTCTTTTTGAGAACTCTCTTGTCCTCATCAGTTTTGAAAGCAGGAAAAAAAACTGACTCTAAAGCATGTACCACTTAGTAACCTCTCACAGCCAAACCTACTAACTGGAGTTCTAATGAGGCAGTCCAACTATACCAAGAGCAACTTCTGGGGTGAGTTTACTGGTTGAATAAACCTTGTTACTTAAGCTTCCCTTCTCAATGGTCCTTGAGAAAACACTATCATCTCCAAGGCCCTAAATAAAGAGGCATTAGCACTTGCTTAATGTAACTGCCGAACTGCAGACACTTGCATTCCTTACTCTGCCCCAAATAAGCCATCAGGCAAGGCCCTATACAAGATTTTCACAATAATTTCAGAAATATTCTTGCATTAATTGCAAATATTAAACTACGCCCCAAAACAGGCAACCAGAATAGAGACTATCCAGAAGCTGGATAAACAAAGATGACCTATATGTGCATCACCATCTGTCAAGTCCTAGCAGCCACCACTTGCTGCTGAATGGCCACGTGGGCACACTATGAATTCAGTGTTGGATACAGCTCCTCTTTTGACTCAACCAGAGCACACATTATGAATCCCCCAGATGTAACTTTGTTAGCAATAAGAGAAAGAGGGTGAAATTCGACAGCAGAAAAGGCAACTTTGTCATTCTTTTCCATTTTAGACCTGGGTAAGAACATGGGAAAATGACAGAAGTACCCTTTCAGATTTGAGGACAATCAGTACAATCATTAATCAGTACAAACTCAATGCAGCATGGAAGCTCATCGTCCCCAAAAAGCAGACACAAACCTGTCACACACCACTGCAGAAGTTACAAGTTCACCTACAATCTGCAGGGACACATCATGCTTACAACAGTTAGGCTCTGAAGAATCAAAAAAAGAAAAGCTTCACCCATATCCTTACGCACAATTCAGGCCACTCACCTACAAGAGGAGTTGCTACAAATTGGAAAAGCTGCAAAAAAGGGTGGCCAGCTTGGCTAAGAAATGACCAGCACATCACAGGGAAGGATGCCAGAGCATGGATTGCTCAGCATGGCAAAGGAAAAGTTGAAAGATGTGATGCTGCCTAAAAAAAAAACCTCTGGATTTAAGTGCCAGAAGCAGGAGGAATTATCAAAATCAAATGTGCATCACAACAAACAAATACAAATTGGCTACAAAGAAATTCAGACTGGAAGTCAGATGTAGGTTCCAGACCTTAGGGGAATGTGAAAAGGTGCAGAGAGATGCACCAATACAGCCCTCACTGAGCCTTCTCACAGGTTGCCAAGTGGCATCAGTAGGCATAAGAGGCAAGGGTATCTTTAGCAGACCCAAATGAAGCTTATGCTATCCTGAACATGTAAGCACAAGTAACATTAGCAGTGTATTTTACTCAGATAAAAGAGAACAGAGGTAAGCAAGCATGCAGTTCTGTAGGTATGACTGATTTGCTTTAAATGTTTTTTTCACTCAGATCTCCATGGTTTAGTATTCATGTATCCTTACGTTTGCATGTCCATATTCACTCAAATCTCACAGGCCTCTTCCCCACACAACTTGCAATCCTAAAAGAGCTGGACAAAAAGGAATCATACCAGCTTTCATGGGATCCCAATCAGGAATAAAGAAAACTAAAAAGGGCACTTCTAGAGCAGACAGCTATCTGTAGAGAAATCTTTTCCACAAATGGGACTCAAACTCAAGCCACAAGTTTCTTTTCAGGATTTAGATCTTGCCTACCACCTTCAACAGATGTGCCTGCGCCACTGAAGTATTTCCCTCCAGACTGGCAGCATTCACTGAACTGA